GAAAAGGGCCTTACTTGCTGTGCTATCTCTTCATACCCTCCAGATTATTTTAAATTACAAATTTTGTATCACATATAAGGAGATTCTGATTAGTTTACAGCAACCCATGTGCTATTAAAAAATTAAAATCAGAGCTAAGTCTAAATTTTGTCCTCATGACTTTTTTTACGGACTGGAGCAATAGCACAGTGGTAGGGCGTTTGCCTTGCACACGACTGGCCCGGCCGACCCGAGTTCAATTCCTCCGCCCCTCTCTGGCAAGCTACTGAGAGTATCTTGCCCGCATGGCAAAGCCTGGCAAGCTACACATGATGTATCTGGTATGCCAAACATAGTAACAACAAGTCTCACAATGGATATATTACTGGGCCTGCTCGAGCAAATCGATGAACAATGGGAGGACAGTGCAGTGCATGACTTTTTATTAATATTTTTATTTATCCATATATGGAAAATATATGTAAAATATGTGTACTTAAATGGATATATGGGGGCACTATTTTCACATTTCTTTTGAAAAAACTCTTCCTTTACTTCCTTTCAAAAAACAAACTCCTGGGGCTGGAGAGATAGCATAGCGGGTAGGGCATTTGCATTGCACATGGCTGACCCGGGTTTGATTCCTAGCATCCCATATGGTCCCCTGAGCACCGCCAGGAGTAACCCCTGTGCATCACCAGGTGTGACCCAAAAAGAAAAAAAAATGAACTCCTAAACAGACTGATTACAGTACAGAGAACTAGTTGAGGCACATTAAAAGGTTCTCCCTAATTTATTAACCTGGCTATTAAGCCTCAATTTAGAGTTACACACCTAAAATTTGCCCATTTTGATTTAGAAATTTGGCTTAGTAACAGAAAGTAAGTTAAGGAAAGGCAGAAGATAAAAATCCAGCTGTTAACTATGCAACTGCTATTTCTCTAATCAAGGAGTTATTTACTTTTAAAACTGCTTAAAAATGGTCCAAGTGTGGGGAGTTGGAGACATAGTAGAGCAGGTAGGGCATTTGCCTTGCAAGTGGCTGACCCTAATTCAATTTCTGGCATCCCATATGACATGTACTCTGCTCCTCAGAAGCACCAGGAGTCATTTCTAAGTGCAGAATCAAGAGTAACCCCTGAGCATCACCAATGTGACCCCCCACCTTCAAAATTCCAACTAAAGTCATAAATACTATAATTAGAAGCAGTATCAGTAGGCTATATCCATTTTATTTTACCCTGAGAAACAAAAACTTTAGCTCAAAACATCAAAACAGAATGCCTCTTCTTTTAGCTGAATCTACTGACCCATGCTGTTAAGCAAATCCCATCAGAGTACAATGTGTGACCAGCAGCGGCTGGTAAAGCATCTCTACATTAATCACAGCAGAATCCAACCAAGAAACCAATTCCATCATAAACAGAGTTGCCTTCTTTATATATGCACATGCTCTCTGGCTCAATATGCAATTCTTAGCTACAATAAAAAGCAGCAGCTTGGGGCCAGAGAGATAGTACAGTAGGTAAGGTGCTTGCCTTACATACCACTGACCTGGGTTCAATCCCCAGCACCCTATACATTTTCCCTAACACACCAGGAATGATCAGTGCAGAGCCAGAAGTAAACCCTGAGCACCACTGGGTGTGGCCCAAAAAAAAAAAACCAAAAAAAAAAAAAAGCAACTTGATTCCCCACTAGATTCAGTGAACGAAAAAGTACAGAAAGTATATGCAAAATTTAAAACCTAGAAATGCATAGCCCAATGGATTGGAGTGCAGGTTTTCCATGTAGGGAAGTCTGGGTTAGATTCCCATTCCCAAGCACAACCAGGACTAATCCCTGAGCAACAAACTGGGATTGGGCCCTATGCACAAGCAGAGGTAGTCCAAAAATCAAAAAAATACTTAAACCAGTTAAAACATTTATGAGTCTTAGACAGTACAGCAGGTAGGACTTCTTGTCTAGCTTGCAGCAGAGCTAGATTTAATCCCCAATATCTCATATGATCCCCCAAGCACCACCAGGAGTAATTCCTGAGTGCAGAGCCAGGAGTAATCCCTGAGAATCATAGGGTGCTACACACCACCTCCCAAAAAAAATAACCCAAACATCAAAGAGTCTTACACAAGTCTCTCCACCACATGCAGGACCTTTTTCTCCCCTCAATAAAATTGTAAGCCCTTGTCTAACTATATTTAATGGTTTAGCGATAGCACAGCGGGTAGGGCGGTCGCCTTACAAACGGCCAACATGGCCGACCCGAGTTCGATTCCTCCACCCCTCTCGGAGAGCCCGGCAAGCTACCGAGAGTATTCGATATGCCAAACACAGTAACAACAAAGTCTCCAATGGAGACGTTACTGGGCCCGCTCGAGCAAATCGACGGTCAACGGGAGGGCCTTTACCTTTACCTTTACCTTTTATTAAAACAAATCATAAGAAATATTTTTTTAAAATATCCCTGACTATCCAACATTTAATACCTTTTATACCAAGGCTCTTATCAGATTTGCTAAATGACCTTGGAAAGTCATTTAACCTCTCTGTGCTACAGTTTCCTCACTTTCAATCTCAAAATGAATTCCAATTTTAATCACTTATTTTTAGGAAAAAAGCAATGCATGTAAGTACCTTATGAGAAACACTAAAAACCCTCATACTTCATATCTTAAAGTCCACAAGTTTTAACCTTGTAAGAGAAAAATGTGCGGAATAATTTGTCCTGTGTTTCTTTTAACTGCAATATCATAAATATTTTTCAATGTTTCTGCTTAACACTCTCATGTTCTTAATTTTTTAATAGATGTGAGGGAGTGTGATCATAATATACATAACAAACAACAAAGACTTTTTTTAACACTGGAGACAAAAATATTCATTTGCATTACTGGGAATATAATCAAAATTATTCCTCTTAAAATTGATAACCATCTTTCTCTGTATGCAGACCATAAGTCTAGCGATCAACAGGTAAAAAGTTAATAAACTTTTACTATTGGGTCTTTAATGGGAACAACTGAGGCATGACTCCTTGATTTCTGTATATAGTCCTCAATTTCTGCAGTCAGATAATACTGTCCACAGATTCAGTTTTGGGGTTCTCTTTGGAGTACAAAGAAAATCTTTTCTACAAAGCTTTAAATTTAATATTCTAGTAGTTCAGTTCTTTTTGGATATTTTTGATCTGCAAACAGAAGGATGAGTAAAATGTTCTTCAAGAGAGACATCCTTCAAATCTTTTCTAGCTTCTTAGTTCTATTTTATCTTTTTGATTCCATCTCAAATTTCTATAGCCCTCTGCCCATTTCCATCAATATATGGATATGCCTCCATCTTTCAGGTAGGTCAGAAATACTATGAGCCCTATGAGGAATGTTTAAGGATAAAATGAAAGAGGAGGACTGGAGAGACAGTACAAGGGTAAGGTGCTTGTCTTGCATGCAGCCCACCTGGTTCTATCCCCCTCACCCCCTATGGTCCCCCTGAGCCCCATCAGGTGTGATCCCAGACCAGGCAGAGCCAGGAGTAAGCCCTGCACACACTCCAGGTATGGGCCAAAAACAAAAGTAAATAAATAAATAAAAAGGAAGTTCCTCCTCCCTCTTTCATTGACCCATTCAGCTGCCATAATCAGTTTTATGATGGCATCCAATACATAAAATAGATCAATTCAAATCCTAAACGGTCTCCCCATCATCACAGAGAGCCGGCAGGTAGAACTGCAGCTGCAAAGCCTCCCCTTTAAACTACTCCCAAGTACTAAGGCAAAACAAAGTCAATTTTCAGTTAAAAAAAAAAAAAAAGAAAAAGAAAGAAAACTCTACTTGCAGATTCCTTCTGATTCAACCCTAGATCTAGTGTGTGAGGCTCAGGGAATCAAAATACAACCCCACCCCACCCCCAAGCTAGGGAATTAAAAAAAAAAAAACTCCTCAAGCTATGAAACTTTGTTTCCACCCCAAAGATTCTCAATGAAAGTTCCCTTGTCAACCAAGAAGTGAGAGTTAACAACAACAACAAAACACGCGAATTTAGGATCGCAGCTGTCTGCCCTGTGGTCAGTGTCTCTGCCCGGGTGTCAAGAGGCAAGTTTCCCACTTTGCTTTCTCCCTACTCCCCTTCTTCCCTAAGAGTGTCCCTCCGGAAAGCAATCATCTCCTTCTCCGTTCACAGTATTTAAAAAAAAAAAAAAAAGCGGGGTGGGGGGGACGACAAAGGTTGGGGTGTGGGGGACGGACAAGCAAAACGATCAAGGCAAGATTTCAGCAGCGGGAAGGCGCCGGAGCCATGGTGCCCAACCCAAAGGGCCAGGTCCGAGCCAGCCCGGCCTCGGCAGGACAGAGGTGGGGGCACGGCCGTCAGGGGCATCGGGAAGACGCACCGGGTGGGGTGTGCGCGTGCCGCTCCCGGGACGGGCTGCGCCCCCCGGAGCAGAAAGTAAGGAAACCTGTGCGTTCCCTGCTTTCTTCTACTCTTCCTCCTCCAAGAGAGGAAGCTGAAGAAACTGGGGGTGGGGCGGGATGTTATCGTTCTCCTCGGGCTGGTACACAAGACGGGGAGCGTTGGGGTGCCTTCGGCTACTCATCCCCCCCCCCGGTCAGGAGGCCCCACGGAGGGAAGAGGAAACCCCTCCGTGCTAACCCACCTCCGTTCCCCCCCCAAAAAAAATAAATAAATAAAATCCAGGAATGGGGGAGTGGGTGATTAGATCCAGATGTAAAGCCCCCGAAAGCGCCCCCAGGTCACTCATCCCTATTAGCCAGCGGAAGGGCCGGGATAAAGGGGATGGAGGGGCGGCCGGGGGAGGCCCCACCCCCCGACTTCGGAAGCCAGGGGCGCCGAGCTCGCGGCCCGGCCCCCCTTCCCGACCGCCCCCCGGGGCCACCCCCGCCGAGCCCCCCAGCGCCCCTCCGGAGCCCGCGGCGGGCGCGGGGGAGGCGGCGGCCCGGCGCTCCCCGCACCCACCCGGTCCCCACCCCCACCCCGCTCCCACCGCCCGCCCGCCACGGGCCCGTTACCTGCTCGTCGAAGCGGCTGACCACGGCCTGGACCCATTCCACCGGCCTGTGCGCGGCCATGTCCTCCCCGCGGCCGGGGCACGGCGGGGGCGCGGGGCGGCCGGCAGCCGGCGCCGGGCTGAGGGAAGGGAGCGGCGGCGCTGAGGTGAAGGCGGCGGCGAGCCGCGGGGCTGGGGCGTGCGGGCTCCGAACGTTCCCACGGCTGCGCGGGGTCGGGGGCGGCCCGCGGCCGGCCGGGAGGGGGAGAGGGGAAGGGGGCGTTGGCAGGAGGACGGGGGGAGGGGGCGGGGGGGGGACCCGGGGGAGGGAGGGGGCCTCTCGGTCGCTCTCCCCCCTAGCGCCGTCTCCCCTCAGCCATCACAGCCCGAGACGCCGCCATGACACCCCACCGGAAGTGGGATCCTTTCCACGGCCCGGGGAGAGGGAGAGCGAGCGAGCTCGAGATTGAGAGCGCGGCTGGGAAAGGGGAGGGGAAGCCGGAGGGACGGCGGCCCGCCGCGCATGCGCCCGCGCCGGCCGCTTTCATTAATGAAAAAGCGAGTCCTCCTGGAGGTGACGTCACCCCGCTCCCGGGGCCCCGGAGGCGCGCTTGCCCTCCGGCCGCCGGCCTCCCCGCGCCTGGGGCTGGGGCTTCTGCCGCCGGGAGTCCGGGCCCGGCCCGGGGGCGCCCGGCGCACGCCCCCCGCCACCCGGGCCTGCCCCCCGTCCCCCGCCGGCCTCTGGCTTTGGACCGCTCCCCGCCCGCCCGGGAAGTTAGGGCGCCCTGGGGCTGGCTTTTCTCCCCGCGGGCAGGTCTCTAGCGCTGGAGAGCTGGGGCTCAGCCCCTCTCTGCCTCCGGCTTTCACAGAAATGGGGCCCAACAGCCTCAGGTGTCCAGGGGCCTAAGTAGCCGCTTCTGAGATCCAGGACAAAGGGCCCGTGAGGGTGTGTGGTGATGGTTTTATTTTTTAATAGCCTCAAACACCTTTACTAGACCCAGTGTCTATCAAAGCACTTAGGCTCCGGGATTCCAGTCCAGACTTCCTCAGCTGAACTGATAGACACCCAAAGGTGTGTAAATAAAACCAGCAGCACTTTGGCACAGTTAGTGGGTAATACAAAGGTTGACGTGTGCCCTCCCCTTCCCCCAAAAAGACTTTTTAGGGCTTTGCATATATTCTTGACTCAATATGTTCATCATCCCACTGGAATCTTTCAACAAGCCTTCCCAATAGTTATCATCACCCTCGTGTAACTGATGAGGCCAGGACACAAGAGGTTCGCTTTCAACAGAGATTTGCAGAAGTCCCAGTTAAGAATCAGGATGCACAGCCTAGTGGTCTGACTCCAAGGACAATAGACACAGACTCTGTGACTCTCCTGAAACAAAAGCGTTCCCTATGCCCCTAATACCAAAACTTGCATGATTTCATGTGGAATTGGTTAGGAAGGTTTTCCAGGAAGAGGATTACAAACAAAACAATAGATGATCTATCTATACCCGACAGGAACTTTGGAATAAGTTATTTTTAAGTCTGTCTTCCTCAATACACTTTACTTAGGCTAATGGTAAAATGTGTTTACACATTCTGAACACACACTAATTAATTGCCCATTAGGCCATAAAAAGACACTAAATGGGTGACAAGATGGAACAAAACCAGAGTTTAAATTCTACCACACACACTCACACTCAAAAAAAAAATCTGCAAAGGCAATAGCTCAGATACAGAGATGCCTCTCTGAGAGACATTTTCAGTCTTTGCTGGTTGGTGATGGTCCAAAATACATATTAAATTAATTAATATTTTATTCCATTAGAACAAGGGGCTGGGTCTGCCTAGTTCTTTAGTCCATTTAAGGATGCAACATGTATAGTGACTCATTTCTTCTGGATGCTGTCAGCAAGATGACAATGCTAAAGAAAATGATAAATATTATAGCCCTCTATGTCTTCCCCAACTAGGACCCCAAAAGAAGCTTTCATACTCACAGAGAACATCCGCCTGGCCCCAGAGACCCATTCTCAATTTCACTGCCTAAACTTTCAGGCTGGAAATCTTCCTTTCCTTTTCAGACACTACCTCAGAATGATAATCCTTCATTATGTTCTTGTGGTTTGTTTGTTCGGTTTTTGTGCCACACCTAGCAGTACTCAGTCAGGGCTCACTCCTGACTCTGAGCTCAGGGATCACTCCTGCCAGGGTTTTGGGAACCCTATGTGGTACAAAGGATTAAACCCAGTCTGCTGCATGCAAAGCAAACACCTTTCTGATGTACTGTTCTCACTAGTCCATGCTCTATCTTTTTGCATGTCTATTCCCCTCATCTTCTTTGCTAGATTGGATGCAAATGCCCAAATTCTAGGCACCTTGCTTCTAGTGGCAGTCCTTCACTGATGACCCTTTGTACTTCTTTCCTCTCCTCTGCTTTCTTCCCTCTTTCCTGGTTTTACTTTAAGGTAAAACCCCCAAACTTCAGGTTCTCGCCCTCTGCTCTTATTTTACTAAGGCTCCTGCCAGTCACTATTCATCCTCTTCTGTACTTGCTGTCCCACTGTCCCTTGTGAGTGCCAAGCCTCTCATGACACTGAAGGTCTGGACTTCACTGCAGCTTCCTCTTCAATTAAATGCCCTTAGGTTTGATGGACCAGCATTAAGTGCCCAAACAGCCAATATACAAATATGTGTGTGGATATGTCGTACACTGTGTTAGACAGTACATAGCACAGCAGGAATTCTAAACAAAATAATGCCAAAGAAGGGAAAGCACAGCAATGACAGAGAGCTAAGGAGCACACCACCCACTTGAAAGGGCAGTTGCCACTTGCCTCCAGTCAGTTCCAGCTATGCAGGAATGTTGACCGTGTTGCTAGAGCTTTCAGTTACTCAAGAGGAACTGGAGATCTGAACTTACATATAAACTCTTCCAGCTTTTACAGAATGGCAGCCAATTCTCATTTTTTAAAAAACTCCGTGCAGCCAAACAAAATACATCTGCTGTCTGAATTTAGCCCGTGGAAGACCAAGTCACCAGCTCTGGTCTGGTGCAAAGATTCCGGCTTGCTAGTAGAGCAGAATTCGATTTGGATCCTAACATTCCCCCATTTGACACTGTTAAAACCAGGGTGTTTAGGGGAACTACTACTGTTAGGGATCATTGTAAAGACGTGTCTCTCATTCACCCTCTGCTTTTTGTTCACATAACTATCTCTGCCAATTTTTCCTTCAAGTGCCTTCTTGCAGCATTCAAGCATTTGCTCCCCCCAACCTCCTGCGTACTAAGGAACATGTGGACCCTCAGGATAGAGGGGCCTACTTCCCAGCTTCTGGAAGTGGTATGGCCAACAGCCCTCAATTGAATTCCTTTCCAGGAATGGTCCTCAGCTAGAGAATTACCTCCACTTAGGATCACACACACACACATGCAGGCCTCTGTGAAGGACTCTTCCAGGTCCAGAGCCTGGATCCCCTAAGTCAGTGGCCATCAATAGATCGGTGCAGGTCCAAAAGTATAGAAAAGTTGTCTACCCCCACTAGTCTACCCCCGCGCCCACCCCAACACCTATAACTGTGGCTCTGGGACTGTGGACTGGTATGCCTGTCCACTGTTGTGGAAAGGTTGAAAATCACTGCCTTCAGGGTTCAATTTCCAAGAAGTCCACCAAGGCCTTTGCTCTAACTGCATTCAGTTCAACTTCACCTTCTGCTCCATCTACTTCTTTCACTCCAGCTCAGTGTTAATCCCCAGGGCTATTACCTAATAAATGTCCTGCTTGCAAATCTCCATCTCACAGTTGGTTTTCCAAAGAATCTGCACTAAACTAATTAGTCCCAGGAGTGTGGTGTGAGCCAATGGAACTGAATCACCCACTGGCCAGCTGGCACTGAGGCCCCCCCAGGTGAAGCCCCACAGGCCCTGGCATGTGTTACAGCTGCACAACCACTAAAAGTGCCAGCAGTGGGCATGAGATGGAGCCGGAGAGATGAAGAGGCTTTTTTTCTTAATTGGGGGTTGGGTGGAGGACACACATGATGCTCCCATATGTGGAGCTACTGCAAGCCCAGTTCTTGGGGTTGTCACTCCCAGCCCTTCTCAGGGAACCCTGTAGTGCTGGGGATGGAACACAGGCTCCAGCATGCATTGTACATGCTGCAGCCCTTTCAGCTAGCTTCCCTGGCCCCAGATTGAATTTTCTTTGATAGAGCAAATCTATGCTTCAGAGAAAGGCAATGAAGAGTTGAGGGTGATTAATAACCAAGTTAAGCTGAAGGATGAATGCTAGAGTGCCTCCTTAGTGGCACAAGCATAGGGAAGAAGGGTAGAAAATACAGAATCACACTTAGGATTTCATGACCAGAGCAGCAGAACACCAAAAAGGTTCACTTTCAACTCTGGCAAGTCTGTTATGCCAAGATGAGGGCTCTGTTGGGGAAGAATTCAGATCCCAACATTTCAGATAGCACATTTAAATTGATGTACTTATTTATAAGCTTCAAACCTCACCACCCTGAACATTCTGAGTTTGGAGATGTGACCCACCTCCTCTTCTGCAAATAAAGAAATAGCTACCATGCACAGCAGCACACACCCTCTTCCTCAAGATTTACCTGTACTTTTCCTCCTGTCTACCAGATCAATAAGTAAGGTCACGAAAGAACCCCACTGAGGAAATGCTGGGTCTGCCAAAGGAGGAAAGGCATTCCATCCTGAAGGAGGTGGAGGATATTGCTAACCTGCAGAAAACAGGAGCATATGTATGAGATTTGGTCTTCAGGGTGCTGAGCTTTGGAAGGAGGTGAAGGAGAGCATAACTCTAGACAAAGCAGAGTTCACTGATATCAGCATGTTTCCGTCCTGTAATATTTATAACCTAGCAAGGACCTCAGGAGATACAACTTGCAGGTTTCCAAGATGATCTAAGAAGTCCAGAGGAAGCAATGTCCCATGCTAGGAAAAACTAAAAGGCCAAATTCATCACAGTATGCCACAGAATGGAGCAAAAGATGCAAAAAAGTAGGCACGCTAGAGTGAATATCCCTGTATATGCCCAGCAGCAGTCTCCACTCTCCCATTCGTCACAAGCAATAATGATTGTGCCTGTGAGAAGGAATAGTAGCATCTCTCAGAAACTCAGTGATTGCACTCCTCTGATCAGGGCTCATGGAAGAAGGAAGTAGTCAGAGCTAGGATCCCTGAGAGCAGTAAGCCCAATAGAATCTTGAAGAACTACCGATCAGGCGGCAGTACTTGCCCTCCAAAATATAAGGCGATGCTGTATTATTATGAGTGGCAAAATTAGAGGAGCAACCAGGTGGAATGACTCACTAAAATCTACAG